TGGCTGCGGTTAAAATATGAATTACAATATACTTTGATTTTTTGGGTATTTGTTTATCGAAAATTCCTAGAAGGAAGGACTCTGGTTTGTACTCAATTTGTTCCTTGGTTATTTCCTCTAGCCAGCGCCTAATTTTTTGCCAATACTTCTGGGTTTCCTTGCATGACCACCACATATGGAAGAAGGTACCTTCTATGCTTTGGCATTTCCAACAATTGGGGCTCGTGTTGGGGTGCATCTTCACCAATCTCGAAGGGGGCAGGTGCCATCTATAAAACATTTTATATGCGTTTTCTTTATAAGCTGGTGATTTCGTGATCTTAATGTTCCTGTTCCAGATCCTTTCCCATTCTGCTAGGGTAATGCTCCGTCCCACGTTTCTGCTCCACGCAATCATATTTCCTTTGACAATTTCTTGTTCTAGTTCAGTTTCTAATAAATGTTTGTAAAATTTAGATATTTTTTTTTTGCTCGGTCCTAATAGAATTTTGTCTAAAGTCTGTAATTTATTGTAGATTCCAAATTCCTTAATATCTTGTTTGTATCTACTATGAATTTGAAGGTACACCCACTGATCAATTTTAAATCCTCGCTCTTGTAATTCTTGTCGTGTTTTCAGTTTTCCTTGTGGGTCTAATAAATTTTCGTACTTAATCATTTTAGTTATATCTAAATTATTAGGGTGTACTATCGCTTCCATTGGAGATAGCCAAATCGGTATTTTTAGATAGAGTTTTTTACGTACTTTTTTCCAATTGGTTAATAGAGAGTCCCTGATAAGATGCCTATGGAAATATGATTGCCTGGGTTTCCCAGTTTCCCACAGAAAGGCATGCCGTCATTTCTGCATATCGTGGCCTTCTAATATTAGTGTTCTTTTGTTGGTTAAATTCACCCATTCCTTTATCCATAGTAGGGTGGCTGCCTTATAATATATTTCCCAGTTTGGCAGGCCTAACCCTCCTCTGCTTTTCAAATCTTGTAGGGCTTTTACATTAATCCTAGCTTTTTTCCCCTGCCAAATAAATTTCAGTGTTATCTTGTTTAATTCCATAAAAAATTTTTTATTTAATTTGATTGGAATTGTCTGGAATAGATATAGAAATTTTGGCAGAATATTCATCTTAATCAGAGCAATCCTGCCCAATAAGGAAAGTTGTAATGTACTCCAGGAATCTAAATCTTTCTTGGATTGATGGAGAAGTTTGTCATAGTTGTTTTCTTTTAATGATTTGCTTTGTGGAGTAAGCCAAATTCCTAAGTATTTAATTTTTTTTGTCACAAGCAGGTAACCAAGGAATTCAACCCTCTCAGTGCACAGCTGGCACTTTTCCTTCTTAACCTTTAGGCCTGCGTCTTTAAATTTTTGAAGGACCATCCTTAGGCGTTTTTCTAGTTGGCTTCTTGTGGGGGCGGCTATCAAGACATCATCGAAGTAGGGTACAACCCCTTTTATGCCCTGCAGCAACCTTTCCATCAGACTCTGAAAGATGCCAGGTGCTACGCTCACTCCGAACTGGAGTCTGTTACATTTGAACGCACCTCTGTGCGTGACTATAGTTTGGGCTTCTGCGGTCTCTGCATCTACGGGCAGCTTCTGGTACGCTTGGGCTAGGTCAAGCTTCGTGAATATTTTTCCGCCCCCGAGTGAGTGAAGAAGTTGTTGGACCACGGGCACGGGATAGGCGCTCTGCTGCAGTGCGTGGTTCAGGGTGGCCTTGTAATCCCCACAGATTCTCAAAGAGCCGTCAGGTTTTATGGGGGTTACAATTGGGGTCTCCCATCGGGCATGGTCGATGGGTTCCAATACGCCCTGGGCTATTAACTTGTCCAATTGTTCATCAATTTTTGTTTTGAGTGCAAAGGGCACTCGACGAGGCTTAAGGCGAATGGGTGCAATATCAGGGCAGAGATTAAACGATATAGGGGACCCCTTGTACTTGCCTAATTTCTTGGAGAAAACTTCTTGGAAGTCCTGGACGAGGGCCACCTCCCAGTCATCGCTTACGGTCTGGTTGATGCCTGCCAGCTCGATTCCAAGCGGCGCGAACCACTGCAATCCTAATAAGCTGGGTCGGTCTTTGTCGACGATGGTGAGAGGTAGGGTTGCGGTGTGGTCTTTGAAGGAGACTTGGACGTGACTGGAACCGGTGACTGGGATTCGATTTCCCTGATAGTCCTTCAATATAAGTTTCTGAGTGCTGAGATCCTGGCGGCGGATGTCAGGGATCAGCTGTTTGAGGGTTTTCCAGGAGACCATTGATAGGGAAGACCCGGAGTCGACTTCCATAATGCATGGGCGATCTTCAATGGTGAGCCTTACTCGGATTTTCCTTGCATCAAGGGATGAAGTGTGGCCGATGGTGATGGTCTGGTGCGCCTCTTCTCATCTGGTAGAAGTGGCTGGTGCTCGATTTCTATTGTAGTGGTTCCATGGGTTGCTTGGGCGGTCCTGATTTAATGGTGGGGTGCCTGTTGCCTGCCGGAAACTATTTTCTCTTCGGTTTTGGCTGGAACCTCGCTTGCCCCTGCAGACTTTTGCAATGTGGCCCCTCTTCCCACAGGAATGGCAGAGGGTGTCTAGGAACTTGCAGTCTGACCGCGGGTGGTTTCCCCCGCATCCCGCACACTGATATGGGGGCTTACGATTCCGCTGGTCTCGCTGATCGCGCTCCGACCTGGGTCTGTTGACTTCCTCTTCCTCACTTTCTGACGAGGATTCGAGGTCTTCATGGTGGGTGGCCGTTGTGTGCCTTTCCGAGGGAAGAGCAGTGTCGCTGGCGAGTTGGCGATTTGGTCCGTTCGCTTGGCGCATACGGGCTGCTGACTTCCTGGTTGCTTCTGCTGCAGTAGCATCGGCGATGACATCTGCGAGGGCGATGTCCCCCTTCGCCATAATCTTGCTCTGGGTGGTGAGGTCTCTCAGACCCAGAACAATCCGATCTCTCATGGCTTCTTCAAGATTTGCGAAGCCACAGAGTCCACCCAAGTTTCTGAGGTCCGCTATGAAGTCTCCAACGCTCTCGCTTTCCCGTTGGTCCCTCTGGTAAAATTCGTGTCTTCTAATGAGGGTTGGCACCGCTGGGGCATAATGGGCCCTGACGATGGGAGCAAAGATATCCCAGTCCATCGTTTTGACTTCTGCTGGTTTGGCGAGTGCCTTTGCCATCTTGAAAATGGCGGGTCCGCAATGGGTTAGGAAGACAGCTCATTTCTTGCCAGGCGTAGCATCCTTCAAATTATTGGTTTCCAGGAACATTTGAAACCTGTCCATATACGAGTCCCAGTCTTCATTGTCTGGATCAAATGGAGCGGGTGGTATGGCGCCGCTGGTCATTCTGCCGCTATTGGTGCGCTCTCAGCCACGTGCTCTGTTAGTGTTCAGCGAGTGCTCAGTCAGCTCTATCGTCTCCGCATCCCACCTTCATCGCCAGTGTTAGATCTGGGAGAGTGGGTGCAATGAACGGAGACGAGGCATTGAATAGTGACTCCAAACTCTTTATTAGTGACTTCAGAACAGAGCGAAAATACTCGGGCAGCAGCAGCTCCTTTTATAGAGCTGGCTGCTGTATCATCAACCAATGATTTGAGTTTGCCGCGCTTTGGAGCGTCCAATCATGGCGGCCCGCTATTAGCCAATCGGATTAGCCCAAAATGACCAATCACGATCCGTTATTCACGGACCAATCAAAAGTGCAGGATTACGATCCTGCCGTGGAAAGAAAACTATTAGAGTTGCAGGCTTACGAGTCTGCTTAGTTCGGAACAGTAGGCACGTTGGTGTGCTTATGCACACCAGACCTCTTAGGAAAGGAGTGAGGTCAATAGTAGACAGTCCAAGGTTAAAGTGTTTGGGGAAGAAACCACAGAGTCAGGTAGAGTATTCCAGACATTGACCACTCTGTTGCTGAAGTCGTATTTCCTGCAATCAAGTTTAGTGCAGTTTACCTTGAGTTTATATCTATTGTGTGCTCTTGTGTTGTTGTGGTTGAAGCTGAAGTATTCATAGACAGGTAGGACATTGCAGTAGATAATTTTATGTACTATATTTAGATCGGACCAAAGGTGGTGTAGTTCTAGGTTGTCTAGGTCTAAAATTTGAAGTCTGGTGGCATAAGGTATTCTGGTACGAGTAGAGGAGTGGAGCACATAATTCTGAGAAAGCACTGTGAACAGTTTGAAGAATTAAATATTGCCTTCTCTGTAATTTTTGTTGCTCATATATAAAGATCCCTACTGTTTCACTACAGAATAACAGATTTGTAAGGGACTTTGGAGATCTTCTAGTCCAAGCCCCCTTCTCCTGTTCATGAAGAGACCCATTAACCATTCCAGACAAATGGCTATCCAATCTCTTCTTACAAACCTTGCCAAGAAGTTTGTAGGGACTTACTCAAGGAAGGAGAAAAAAACTTTAAATGCTAGGTTAAGAAAATTAGAGTTAACCATAATTGTCAAAGGAGAAACCGATAGACTATGATAAATGATAGCAAAGAAAATTTGCATCATAAATAAAAGGAGGAAAACAAATATATTTGGGTTATTCCTATTCTCTCAATTATGATTGAGCATACAGTATATGATCTCGTATTTATAAAATACATTTAGTCATTATATATTTTTTAAAAATGTTTTCATATCACATTTTTGCAATTCCAATGAGGATTATGTTTTCTGCTTCTGAGAGTAAAACTCTTTTACTGTTAATAAGTCAATTATATTTGGTTCATTGCAAATATTAGGACATCTCTTGTGTACAAGCAGATAAAATGATAGGCCAAAACCTAATATTTTTTTTCTTATGGGTCTGGCTTTTCAGATGTAGCAATTGATTTAGAAGATATTTTTATTAACTTATTTCAATACATGTTATGTTAACCAAATTAATACTTGAAATAGTATTTTTCTCTGTCTATTCACAAAATGAATGCAAAATAAACACGTTACTTCTTTACTGTAATAGTTATGATCACTCTTTAATTATTTGTTTCTTTTTGCAGGATCCAAAAGAATAAGTGATAGTGAAATCTCGGATTATGATTGTGATGATGGAATAGGAGTAGTGTCAGGTAAAATATTTATAGACATATTTTTAAAATTCTGAAATATTATTTTTCATGATGAATTCAACCCTCTTTCTTCCATAATTGTATTTGAAGGTAGTCAGTGAGAACATTACAGTGAATGACAGAATGCAGTAGCACTCAGTCATTTGTTGTTGGATATAATCCATAATTATAAAACAAAACAAAAAAGGCACATTTTTATGCCAGAAATTTAATATTTATTTAAATCTCAGAAAATGCAAGTTTGAGTGAGATCGAAAATCATTATTTGCCTTTTTCACTGAAACAATAGAGGAGGAGCAATAAAGTGTTGAAACAACAATTTAAAATTATCAGCTATCAGGTTTGCTTACGCAATAAAGTGTTGAAACAACAATTTAAAGTTATCAGCTATCAGGTTTGCTTATGCTGAAGACGTCATACGTGCATGAATGCATGTTAAGAAACTTTATTTTTTTATTTATTTTTTATTTATTTTATTTTGTCAAACGATTATAACAGGTATAAGTATAAACATAGTTATGAATACATATAAGAAAAATAATACATATAAGAAAAACTTGAACATCTTCTGGCTATTGAAAAAAAAATCTTACTCTTTTCAGAAATAATTTTGCAACTTTCTACCTCATTCATAGCAAGAATCTTGCTTATTCATAGACTGGAGGAAAAGAAGGAAAAACATTTCCATTAACTTGGTTGGAAATGATTCAAGAGAAGTATAATTTAAGTCTAGAAAATAGGTCTACTGCTATTGAATTGATCTGTTCGTCATTTATTTTAGCAATTGTTTGTTGATATTAATCAGTATAAGTAATTATCTTCATTCATACCTTAGAAGTGCTTTTTTCTTTGCCTGGTATTATAGAAACTCCTCTCAATTGCTGCCCTTTTTTGGTTATCTTTGAAATATTTCAGTTCTTTCTAAATACATTTTCTTGGGTTGTGTCAGAATTTTATTCCATATCTTTGCTTGCTTTAGGAATAGACTACTTTCTAAAAATAAGCCCAACATTAACATAAAAACCCCCTCATGATTTGAACCTTTTAATAACATCTAAAAGTAGGGAGGTCTTTTTCTTTCCTGCTTTATCTCCTTCCATAATCCTTCTGAGCTAGAGCTTGTATTATTTTATTTCATAAAAATCCTAGTTAATGGGGATAGCATGAAATTTTGGAAACAAAGTTGAAATGGTAATTGATTATTTTCTTTCCATCTTGCTGTCACTATGGAGTGTTTTTGTTTCTCATTCGTTTAGCATTCATGTTTACAGTTAAGAACATTGAACTCAAGCTATGTTCATCCTGTTCTTATATTCTTAATGAATATACTCACTTGATTACATTTACTACATCTTTTCTATTTTTTATTATTTATGGCAGATTATCTTAATTTTACATTTTTAAGTTTTGTTAATCAGACAATTTATTTAAAAGCTGTCATTGCCTCAAAAGAAAAAATGTACAATTTTATATTTTACTAAAACTCCCCTAGCGACAACTAGAGCTATGGACTGATAACATCCAGGGGCTATACTTGCTGCTTTTGCAAACTTTGTAGCACCCCTTTGGTATTAATACTGCTGACAATAACATGTATGGCCCTTGTTCCATCTTCAGGTGAAGCACAGTGTTAAGGACTTGATAGTTGCTTTCCTTAATGGCAACTGCAGCTTAAATGGTCAGACAAGACAATGCCTATTTTATTGTTTGTATTTACCTAATCATGGTTATACAGTCTTACTAAAACTTCTGAGAAGCAAATGCAATAAACATTATTAACAGTTCTGATTGATTCATAAGTATAATAGTTTCTTTATAAGGATCAGGCAATTCAAGAATTCACTATTATAGTATTTCTGACAGATATCCATCCAGCCTCTGTTAAACACTTCGTTGCTCCAAGAGCAATTCATTTCTTACCAACTAATGTTTCCCTATTACCTACCTTATTAACACTTGTGAGTACAGTCAGCTGCTGGATAAGTAGCATTATAATAGTGACAAATGGCTGTCCTATTTTTTTCTCTTATTTTAATTTGCATTTTCAAAAGTAAAAAAAAAATGGGAAGAACTGCATATGTACTTTTAAACAGATTTTAAATACATTTGTTTCCAAATATGGGAGATTAGAGAGAAAGGCACTTAGAGCTTTTCTTTAATTAAAATATTTAAAAACCATTCAGAATAAAGAGTTTTCTCAGTATTAATTGGTAGGTATTAACTTTGTAATTTATTTGCTGTAAATAACCACCTAATTTGTGTTCTATTTTTATGTGAAAGTATCTCATTATGTTTTCAAGAACATTGCCAGGCTACTATTATTTCTTAGTGAGAAAAATATATATTCCACATGTTAAATATTTTCTGGGGTAAACTACATTTCCTCCCATAAATCTTGGACGGGACAGAATTATAATGATTAGTGTTTTTAAGCAAAACAGTTATCTTCCCAATGCTAAAATAGACCTTTCTTTTCGTAAATGAAATTTCTACTTATAGAATTCCTGCTTCATGGGCAAATTAGAAAACAATGATACATTGAAACTGTACCATTGTACAGTTGTACAATGTTAGGTACAACTATACCAAAGTCCTGCCTTAGCCATAAAACTAGCTCAGCTAAGAGCGTTAGTCATTCTCAGTTCAGCTCAGCTCACATAGTTATGGGGGGGAATAAGACCAGGAAGCAGTATTAAGTATGTTCGCTGCCTTGAGTTATTTATTAAACTATAAAGTCAGGATAAAAATAAAATAAATAAACTGCATGCTTGTTGATCAGCTTAAAATTCCTAGTACTGAAGGGTACTTCCAGGCCACAATAATTTAGGCCAGTGTTTCTCAACATCAACAGCCTTAAGATACTCTGCTTCATGTTGGCTGGGAAATTCTGGGAGATAAAGTCTACACACCTTAAAGTTATGAGGTTGAGAAACACTGATTTAGGCACACACAATATTTACAGTTTCTCTTTAGGTTACAAATGACACAATAGTTCAGGTTCCTAAGCTCAAGAATCCATGTCCCATTCCGTAGATCAAACAGTTCTTCACTTAATGCCTTATGGCATTAAAAAATGCCAATGCATGTTTTTCACAGAGACTGCATGGTTATAATATCTTAATTATTTCTTTCTCTTGCTGCAGCTTGAATTTTGAAATGGAATGACTGAAATTTAGGGAAAAAAGAAATAGAATGAGATATAATAGCAGTGCTATTAGGGTGAGACAATTTAAAAGTAATAAAATCTGCATACATTCATTGATGCATTTTATTTGTAGTTGAATCTTCAAACAGATGTCATTAACCTGCATCATAACAAGCTATGACAAATTGTTTTCCCTTCCCCATATGCTTTTAAAAATAGTGTAATCAATTATTACTGATCCAGGAATTTTGCAGTGCAAATTATACTTTTTTTAGCTATTAAGACTGTATACTAAATGAAAATGTAGTCCTCTTTCTGTTTCATTTCTTCCTTCCTCCATGCCTCATTTTTTCAAGATTGAATGCTAAATTCCAAAATTTCCTTCAAAATTGATTTTCCAGGTTTGACTCTCATGGCAGGAAAAGAGACTTTGGAGAAGTAACAAAGATCAGAAGAGAGTGTCTTTTGCCACTTTTCTGTTCCAAGTTACCCCCAATCTAGCTGCAACATCTGTCACCCCACTGATTGTCAGGGTTGATTTGGCTGATTTGGCTGACTTTTAGGCAGGTATCACCTTTTGCCCTGGCTACTCCATATTTGTCCCTCTTGAAGCTGTTCCTATCTGGCAATGCCAGATAAAAGGAGAGTACCAAATTTTTGGTCAATGATATAGCTCAAAGTCCAAGAATCTGGGCCATCTTCTACGTATTGGATATGTTGTGACTACCCTGCAAATAATCTTGGAGGTTCCTTCGTTTTAGATTTATTTATTTACATTTTTCCAGTTTCAGCTTCTTTTATACGCTGTGTCACAATTTTTGATTTCCTCCCTTGTGTTTTTATAATCTTATTTGTAATAAAATCAGCAGTTTATATAGGCTTGTTGACAAGTTCCCCCAGCTTCCAGGTTTTTAATTAAGATACGGTAGGCTCCATTAAAGGACTTCCCCTGGGAAGCAATGAAAAGGCGTAATGAACACATTATATCTAAGTAGCTTGTTTTGAATTAGCACTTTCTAGATGAGGGACAGCTTTATCTAAAATATTATTCCATTTTATATACCATTCATTTTATTAAATGTTATGTTTTTAACTTGTTCAATAATGGTTTTCTCCCTCATGTAATTGAATAATTTTTGCTTAATTTTGTTGCTTACAGCTGTGTACCTATGGAAAAATTATATCAGTAAGAATAAGTAGGGCATTGTCTTTTTTTGACACATCCCTAAGGAAGACTTATATAGAAGTTAGCCTTTTCCCCCACCAGGCTGTATCATCTTTAGAAATTATAATGAAAATTCTGTGATGGCAGGAAATATTCTGGACATTACATCTGGTAAACTAAGGAAATAAGTTTTTTATGAAAAAAGATTAAAGTTGTTTGGGACCAAGACTAGACAAAAATACTTGCTGTAGGATTATGAATAATGTTGAGATTGATAAACTTAGTGTCAACTTTGAACTGAACCTGGCAGCATCCATTTTTCTGTTCCTCAGTTGCTACACAGAGGGGAAAGGGGTGGGGAGGGAGGTTGGAATGCATTATTAGACACAACAAAGAACTTTCTCATGAGAAGCAGAGTCATCTCTGCCTTGCAACCAATAAGGTTGGGCAAGGAGTGCCTGAAGAGTCCGCCAATTAACCCAATTTGCCAACATGACCTTGTGACACTTGGGGATGGGGTTGTTTTCTAGTTTAATTATACTGTAACCACAGGAAAAATTTAGATTTGGTTTCCCCATGAAGCTGTGTCAATATGATGTACTCATTAAAGAAGACCTTTGAGAAGGAGCCAAGTCTCAGAGTTCTGATTTGCTTGGGTTCATTAGTAAGAATCTTGACACTTAGTAGGAAGAGGGCCCAAGCAAAAGAATAATAAGTAGATACGATTCAGATTTCAGAAAACTTCAAAAAGATTATTCCCTACAAAAGTAATAAGAAATAAAAGTATGCATTCCATTCAATGTTGATAAAAATTACATAATTCCTTTGGGGGGGCAGATAATTTTGCATATACAGCTGTCTGGGATCTAGGATGTCACCAAGCATTAGATTTTTTGTGTGCTTCTGCTCTCTATACTTATTTGGGAAAGAAAAAAAACTGTAACGGAAACTTATTTCAGTTTTGAGGTTTCCAAAATTATTAGCTGACTGTTGTTGGAAATGAATGGCTTCATTATATGGTTCTACTTGACAAAGGCTATTTTTGTGAATTTATGTGAATTTATGTGAGCAATTTGAAAAATTTTCTACTGTCCATACTACTTGGGGGAAAAAAACCCAGAAAAAAATAAATCAGTAAGCCTCTATATTTCTTTCAGTTCTTTTTTTTTTTTTTTTGTAGATTACAGACATAATGGAAGAGATCTTCAAAGTTCAACATTATCAGTGCCAGAACAAGTGATGTCATCCAATCATTGCTCTCGATCAGGCTCTCCTCACCGTGGTGACAGTATAGGAAGAACTAGATCCTGGTCTCCCAGTGTTCCTCCATTACAAAGGTAAATTTTAGTTAAAACTTCTAGGGGAAGGCTGGGGTTCAATATAAAACATACCGTGATCAAACATGACTTTATAAAAATAAACAAAAATGAACGAGAGCAAAAATTAGACTAATTGTTTACTTAAAAGAAATACTTTGTTTATAATGATCTATTTTATTAACTTATTCATACTTGTCAGTGTTTATTTATTTAGCCATTTATTCAATTTCTATAGTCACCCAATTCAACCAAGTGGCCCTGGGCCACTTACAATTCTTAAATTATAAAACAAACAACTGTAAAATTATAAAGCAAAAAACAGTAAAAGTATCCATAAAATAAATGATATATAATAGTAATATATAACATTTGTTAATTATTCATTGATGAATTTATATAATATAAAGAAATTAGGTAATGAATATTTACATACAAAGATTGTTATAACAAAGAATGACTAAAATACTTTTTATATTAGTATCTTCTATCACAATTCAGATGAATCTTATGTCCAATAACTATTAATCTCCCATTTGAATGTAGTATGATATTCTACTTTTTAAAATTCTGTCTTATATGGAAAGCTGTAAGTGTGCAAGAAAGTTTTCTGCACACAGACAAGAAACACTGAAGTGAGAAAAGTATACAATGGTGTTGTTAGAACTGTGGTATTGATAGTAATTATTATTATTTTAAATAATCATTTTTTCTTCTGCTTACCATTTTTTCTTGGGAGATTATTTTATTTATTTTTAATAGACTTTCATGCTGGAATATCTGTGTTTCCATACTCCAGTGCAGTCTCTACATAGTACTCTTGTTCTGTAAGATCTGTTCTGCCTTTTTAAAATGGAAGATATTGATTATAGTAAAAGGTTTCCAGTAAATAAATACAAAAGCCAGAAAATATTTTTTATTGAGGTCCTCACATATTTTGATCTATATATATTATAGGCAATCATTTTCTCTTGGTAACAAAATAGTCAGACTCACATTAATAATTAGTCAGTGGTGTAGTAATATTTTAATGAGACTTATTAAGTTTATATGCACAACGTGAAATGTATAATTAGTAAGAGCATATAATGGCCATGTTAACATCAGAAAATATTATCTCAAGAAAATGATTAGACTACTTTATTCATGTACTATTTGTATTCATTATTTTATTCAAGGTTGATCAATAACAACTTAAGGTTAAAATCCACACAAAACTGCTAACTAATTGTAAATTTGTGTCTATACATATATGTTCATGAGAGAGAAAGCCCTGTCTCTTTCAGTTTTTGGCAGGTACAGTACAATCTCTGGTCACAACCATAATTTGTTCTATAACTTTGGTCATAACCTGAATCTAATTTTGGAAATTTGGCGCTTTAAAAAAAATGGCACAGAAGGGGAAATTGATTGCGGGAATTTTTTTTTGAATTTTTGGGTCGGAACCGAGCAAGTCCAGAAATATTTCATGAGAAGAGTACTACACTCCTCTGCTTGCAACAGAATACCCTATATCACCAGGCTTGAAATTTTGGGCTTGGACAACCCTGAACTACGCTGCCTATGATTAGACTTAAGCGTAGCACACAAAATTATCTGCTATGATGTCCTACCAGTCAATGACTACTTTAGCTTCAACCACAACAATACAAGAGCACACAACAGATACAAACTCAATGTAAACTGCTTCAGATTCGATTGCAGAAAGTACGACTTCAGCAACAGAGTGGTCAATGCCTGGAATGCACTACCTGACTCTGTTGTTACATCCTCTAACCCCCACTCCTTTAACCTCAAACTAACCATTTTTGACCTCATCCCATTCCTAAAAGGTCTGTAGAGGGCGTGCATAAGTGCACCATTGTGCCTACCGTCCCAGTCTATTGTTTCCATTTATTTGTGCCTATTTCCGGTATTCTTACTCATGTTTATACTTACCTATTATCTTGTAAGCGATTGACAAATAAAATAAATAAATAAAATAAATAAATAAATTAACCCGATTTGGTCGTGGTCAGAAGCATTCGTGACCAGAGGTTCTACTGTAGATGAAAGCCCCAAAACTGGTTATTTTCATATCTTCTAAACAACAGTAAACAGGCTCTTCTAACTATATAGTGTGTGGAATTAACTTACAAAAAATATTAAGTGAAGCCATTATAGATATTGGTTCTGATGTAATTTTTTTCAACATAGTTGTGCCCTGGATACTATATGCCTGAGAAGACATGATGCAGCCATTTTGCTGAGGTTCAGTTGGTGTAAGATTGGTTAGAAGTTGTTTATATGTTTGTAAAGAGGAAAAGCAGGTTATGTGTGTGTGTGTTCATTTGTTTGTGTTGTCAAAGACACCTGTGCTCAAAAATGTCTGGCCAAGGCTGTTTGACATCCCTGAACTTGAACCATTTTATTAAAGATGGGAGGAGGAAGTCATAGGGAAGAGATACTACCATGACATTTGTTCCTCTGCCCTAATGTTTAATAACAGAGTATTATATTTCCTCCAATGCCCCCTTAAGGGACAATTAACACATATTTTAGTCATAAAATTACAAACATTTTCTTTAGACTTTTTTCCTATCCTTGTGGTAACAAAAAGCAGTGGAGAAATCCAAAAAGTTATGAATGATTGTAACTGTCCTAGATTGTTTTGGCTGATCTCTCTCTCTCTCTCTCTCTCTCTCTCTCTCTCTCTCTCTCCCATCCTCGAAGAACCTGTTGCCATTCAAGAAAATATAGTAACAAAGATAAGCATCCCTGGAAAAACAGGAAATATTTTCAACTGATAAAAATTTAACATTTAAGTTTTTTCCCCTCAATTGACAACAAAATTAAAAATATCAATTATACTAGTCAGAAGAGGTCCTACCATAAAGTTAATATAGGCCTCCTATAACATCTGTGAAAAAAATCTCTTCCTATTGTGTGTGGAAGTTTCAACTGTTTATTAAAATTATATACTTGCTTGAAAAGTTTAAAAGTTCCTTTTAAATATCAATTGCCAAATTTTCTAAAGAAGTGTTCATCATGCCAAGAGTTAAGTATTGTTTAAAAAAAAACACGGAGAAAAATACTTAAATGATATTTTATAATATTCAATATATTAGCAAATAAAGATTGATGCATTTGTGCCTCTGGTACCTTTATTAATTAGAGAGTTAATGCTCATTGCCTTTTACGCTTCTCTGGTTATAGAGTGAATTCTCTTTTCTGCCTTAACTAGAGTTTAGAACTGTATTAGAACTAATGTGAATTACCAATAAAATTAACCAAGATACCCATTTAATTGTTTCAATAAGTACTAGTTATTTTGCATGAATAATTTCAAATTACAAGCTTACTCTGTAGTGGATAGATTGTTTGGAATTCCATTTTATTTCCAAATAAGATAAGATTGATCAGTTATTGGGCAATATCATTGTATGTAACAGCACAATGATTTTAGGCTATGGCAAAAGCAAATCTAAATATTCAGGAAACAATTTCCCCACCTATTGGAGGCATTAGAACCTGGTTTAATTTTTTCAAATTTCTCTCATCAATTAAAAGGCAACCGAGTTTCTGTTTTACAATTATTTGATTGCAAAGATTTATAGGATTTATAGGATGCTAAAGCGTTTTCAAAATGCTGCATCAGAGGCCAGAATTTAAATAACCAGCATGTATTAATGACAAAAAAACCAACTGTGAGGTTGAAGAAGACAGCCTACATTTGATTTCTAAATATCATTTTAGACATTTATTTATTTTATTTATTTGATTTGTCAATCGCTTACAAGATAATAGGTATAAGTATATACATAGTTATGAACACATGAAATGGGTACATATAAGAAAAATAAAAGAAACAATAGGACAGGGATGGTAGGCACATTGGTGCGCTTATACATGCCCCCTACAGACCTCTTAGGAAAGGGGTGAAGTCAATAGTAGACAGTCTAAGGTTAAAGTTGTTGGGATTTGGGGAAGAAACCACAGAGTCAGGTAGAGTATTCCAGACATTGACCACTCTGTTGCTGAAGTCGTATTTCCTGCAATCAAGTTTGCTGCGGTTAACCTTGAGTTTGTATCTATTGTGTGCTCTTGTGTTGTTATGGTTGAAGCTGAAGTATCCATTGACAGGTAGGACTTTGCAATGTATGATTTTATATACCATACTTAGATCAGACCGAAGACGGCGTTATTCAAGGTTTTCTAGGTCTAGAATTTCAAGTCTGGTGGCATAAGGTATTCTACAACGAGTAGAGGAGTGGAGAACTCTTCTTGTGAAATATTTCTGGACTTTCTCAACTGTGTTAATATCAGATATGTAATGTGGGTTCCAGACTGATGAGCTGTATTCGAATATTGGTCTAGCAAATGTTTTGTATGCTCTAGTTAGTAGTGTGATATTACCAGAGAAAAAGCTACGTAGGATTAGGTTAACAACCTAATGTTGTTAACCTAATGTTGGCTATGTAGTTACAGTGGGCTCTAGCACTTAGATCATTAGAGATGAGTATTCCAAGGTCCTTTACAGAGCTTGGATCATCAACAAGATCTTGACTATTCAGCCTGTATTTTATTTTCTGATTTTTTTTGCCAATATGTAAGACAGAGCATTTATTTGTTGAGATTTGAAGTTGTTTGACCATTCTGATACATTGTCAAGATCTTTTTGAAGGGTAGCAGTATTGTCTGTGGTATTGAACAGCTTTACATCATCAGCGAAAAGCACGCAGTTGCTCTTAATATGATCACTTAGGTCATTTATGTAGAGTATGAAGAGAGTTGGTCCTAGAACACTGCCTTGGGGGACACCACTATTGACAGGTACAGAATTTGATAGGACACTCCCAATTTTGACCATTTGTTGTCTGTTTGACAGGAATGCTTCTATCCAGTTATGCAGTTGTCCAGAGATACCATAAGATTTTAGTTTTAGGAGTAGTTTGTCGTGTACCACTGAATCAAAGGCTTTACAGAAGTCTATGTAGATTGCGTCTATTGTTTTGCCTTGATCGAGTTGTGTAGTCCATATG